AATTAATGATCAGGTACTGCTTAGCATGGTGAAATTTTAGAAACGTACTGTCAAAGGAAAAAAAATCCTATGATTTCGATAGGTCTCTAAAAAGAGCAATATAAAACTCATCTTTAGGAGAAATGGCTTAATCGTGGCAATGAAGGCTTTTCATATAAGAGAAAGAAAAGCTAAGGTTCTATTAAATCTTCTCATTTGTTCTGTATTGTTCCTACAAGTAAAACTTGAAAGGTGTATCCATCACCACTTCCAGGTACCTCAAGATACATCGAAGGGCTGGTAGGAAAATCTCTTTTTATATATAGCTGTATTTTCCAAAAGTTGGTGACGTGCATCCTGTAGTTCAGAGGGATTCTTTACGGGCACTGTGCCCCTTTTCCACCCCCCCACATCCACTGCTAAGTCACTGAGTAAATTTAACCAGTTTCTCTACTGAGGGTATCAGAATTTTTATCTTACTGTGTATTGTCTCCCAGAGATGATGTGTTATGAAATGTTTCCCAAAAATGTTCCCCAAAACATTTATTTCCTCACCACGTATCTCACAGAACTGTTCTCAAGAATTCGTTTGGGGAGGTGCTTATTTATATTGCTAAGGTCATCTACCTCAGCACCCACTTTTAACATGGTGTCCTTTTTTATAACAACCCACTTTCTGGGACACCATTTGCAGAACTGCATGATAGCAAAATAATAGACTTGCTATAAGCAATGTACGTTTAACTGAGTTTTCAAACACAGAACGTCAGTGTTGTAAACCTGCATCACCTAAGCACTGCAGTTCAGAGGCAGGTAACCAAGGACTGGCAGCTGAAGCAGTCTCCTGAAAACTGTCACCTCTACCTGCCAAACTGTATTCTTACCCCCTCTCTTCCTTCCTCCTGTCTCCTCCTCCTCCCACGTTGCGCTGCATCATGTCACATTCTCCAGGTTGTTTCACACCTTCAGTTCCTTTCCCATCTCTATAAGAAATGGATACCCATAGACATTTTTTCCCCATCTCAGTTGTCATTTAAACATTAAAAAGTTACCACACTTTCAGTTGGTAATAGTTGTTCTGCATAACATCATTTAATTCCCGCATCAAATGAGTCTTAAGATGAAATAATCTAAACTCTCTTTAGATTGTAATTTTTTTTGCTATATAAGTTTTCTATATAAAGGAGAATTTTAGTATCTGATTATTAGTAGATCTAGTAAGTGCTAACAAGTTCTAATAAGTACTGCTCAGAAGACACTGTGTTCATTGTGCTGAATCTCTTTCTCTGTGATGCCAAGTGAACCAGTGGATAGTATCGGTATTTGATTTAATTAAAGTAGCTAGCCTGACGGGGAAGATTTTACTGTAACCCAGTTTATCTGTGTATGGATTTTTTTGAAGAACACTTTGATATGCAATAACCTCAGATCTGGAGCAAAACTGCTGATGAAGGAAACATTGGAGTTGGAAATACACCACCTGTATGCTTGTGTCTAGTGTCCCAGGAGTAATGGAGTTCGCTCCTCACCCTGACAGTTGCCATTACAAGGAAATCAGACCATTTAAAAATAGGCCATCAATTCTTGTTATTCATGAGAGTTTGGTCATAACAATTTCATCAATTCATCAATACACCACCTTTTTTTATGTGTTTTTCTGTTGAAAGACACCTTATTAATATATCGTTGATTCATTAACATTGAATCCACAACCAACAGCACTGTAATTCGTGCTTGAACAAAACTTATCCAGCAAACACGTGTTTTCCTCCATAAGTCACAGCACAGGCATCGTCCTGTACTTAGGAGCGCTAGACAGCGCTTGGGCACTGTTTGGGGGCATCTCAACAGTGACACTACCAACAAAAACTAAAAAAATGTAAAAACCTGGCACTAAGAAGACTGAGAAAACAACTCTTGTTAACAGTATGACAGCTGAAACCAGAAGGCAGAGTGTGGCCTTTTCCAACCTCAGTGGGGAACACGTAAGTCAGGCAACTTCAGTTTTCGCTGCTGTCCGCACATCTGCGGATGACCCTGGAAATGCCACAAGTATTGATTTTGGGGTTACAAATGAATTTGAGTGAGTGGGTAAATTCATACATAAGGAATTAAGGAATCCACAAAGAATTAGGATTGACTGTAATTGCCTTATTAAAAGCCCTGGTTTTGGAGTATGTCTCCACAAACAGGTGCTTAAGTCCAATAGGCTTTTAAGACAATAAATGGTTTTTTAAAACAAAAGAACACTTGTTCCCCAGCATTATGTTACAGAATAAACCTCTTTCTCCATTATAAAAACTATTAATATAATAGTGGTTTGAATATAGAAACCTTGTAATGAAAAGAAAAGCCTAACTACATTAGGTATTAACTTTTGCTGTGGAACCTGACTTCTACCTACATCACTGTTTCCATGGGAAAATTTATTCCAAATTCCAACTGAGTAGGTGTGATGATGACCAGCCTACCTCCAATGTAGGACTTCCATATTCCCTCTCATCTGGTTCCAGGGCTGGGAACACAGCCGGAGGAGCTGCACTCCGGGGACAGGAAGGAAACAAGGCGTAGGGTGGCGGCTCCTAGAAGGGAGCACTGGGGCTTCTGCTGGGAAGACAGAGACAGATTCTTCAAATGACTTTCATGAATAAGACCATGATTTTTAGGGAAGCTGGGGTGATTGTCAGTATAGCCCCAAACTTGACAGAAACCATATTCTAAAAACAGTGGGCCTCCTAGAAATAAAATCTTGAACCACATGGTTCATTGATCCAAGCCATTAAGGCATTTCCTTAGAGTCATATTTGAAAGATATTATTAGTGGTGTTAAAACAAAAATGCAGACGTCTGATCATCTGCATAGACTCTGATCAAAACGACAAATACCTGGCAAGATTTTATTAACTAAGCAGTATTATTTATGCTCAATGTTTTACTGTAACATTAGGATACTCTGTAATATTTAATAGATGTACATGTGTTTTATTGTTCATTTGTATTCACTTAATGATTAAAAGTTCAAGGTGAAACAATAGGAGAATATGTGGTGGTGCACTAAAACCTTTGTAGAACTTAAAAATCAGCTTCACAGGTTTCTTTTAAATGACAGATTTCCTTTGTGGGGAGGGAGCCTTTAATGAGATCTGTTGTCTGGCTTGTTAGGTTTCTCTAGTTTAAATTCTTTTAATGAAAAATAAGGGTCTGGGTATAAATAGTTTTTCATTCAGCTGAGTTCTTAAAATTCAGCTAGCTACGTTTTTTTTTTAATTATTTTAATTTTAATGTCAACATGGTATGTTAATGTTTGACCATTTCTTAACCTCAATTTTATCCCAAGGAAGAATAAGACATGTTCTATTTTTAGTATATAGTATACCTAGCAGAGAAGGAAATCATCTTGTTTTACATCGGAACTCTTGTTTCCTATCTCCTTAAATGCTCTTTCAGTGGATTGGGTCAGCAGCATATATACCTCTTATTTGAAAATCAGAGTATGCAGCAGCCTACAAAATGCTCAGGGAAGTCTAGAGATAAAGGAACTTGTTTAACTTTAGTTATTGGATTTCTTACATTTCTTTGTCTTTAGAACCCTTCCCCCTCTCCCCCCACCACAACCTCTCACGGGACTTCATAAGTGAGGAACACAGTGAATCAGCTTGTGAGGGAAATGCCCTTTCTGGGGGGGGTGTGGGAGGCTGGTGAATGAACCCACCCGGGCTCTGTAGTGAAGGCAGAGAGCTGAAGCAGCCTGCTGGCAGGTTAGCACTCAGTCCATTCTGGTGGTTCCAGGGTGACAGTGTTTTGTACCTTCTCTGGACAGAGTAATCAGGTTCATGCCGCTTCACCTCACATATGTCTGACCCATCTACCCAGGTGACCTTGTAGCCTGGAATTAAGGTCCTTTAAGAGAATGTATAAGGACTGACTGACTATTTGTAGTAAATACTATTTTACAAGAAAAGTTTTTAGTGTTTTTAGATTAGCTTTTTAACAAGTCAGTCACAGAACACCAGTTCCGTTGTAAACCTTTAAAGAAATTTAAATGTTCCTTTTAATTAAATCAATGTTTATAATATCTCATAAACTTCAACATTCTTTTAAAAGTAACAAAGAAATAGGAAGTGCACATGACAAAGAACAAACAAATCATAGACTGATTAAAGAGTTAAACCAGGAAGAGTTGAGATTTTAAAAACCCACAGGAAAAAAATAGTTGTGCAATTGATTTTTAGCAGGCTAATAATAACATTTAATCACTAGAAAAAATCAAGGCATTTGGTTTGACTATATGAGAAGGTAAAAACTTCTGCTTGTCATATAACGCAGCGAATCAAAAAATCAAAACACTGGGGAAGCACAGCAAATATAACAAGAGGTTAAGGTGTGTATTATTAGAGTAACTCTTATAATTTAAGAAAATAATCCAACCCCAGTTAAAAAAATGAGGAAAAGATAAGCGGCAGTTCATACATGGGAAGCTGTCAGCCAACAAAGGAATTCATTTCCTTCAACGAATACATTCTGCACACCCGCGCCTTATCCTGCACTTGGTGTTGATGTTTCAGCGCGAAGATGACGTTCTCAGCCCTTTCAGGGGGAGAGAGGAGGAAGGGAAGGGGCACATGAAACAAAGGAACACATTGAGTTACAAAGACACCTTTGCAAATGCTAGCAAAACTGTGGAAACTGGGCCAGTTATTTATGATTCCTAAAATGACAAATTTTTGTCTTTTTTTCAACCTCAGAAGCAACCCAAATGAAATAATTTTTTTAAAAAGAAAAAAGCCTCTTATATGTTGACCAACAGGGCTTGGTCAAGTAGAGACTGACCTTATGATTAAAATGATAATCATGAAAATAGCAGTAATATGAAACAATTGTTGCATTTATGCTGCTGAGTTCAGGTCTGTGAAATAAATACATGGTCATAATTGGTAGTAGGATTATGATATTAAACTTTAATATTCACTGGAAGAAATATTAAGGTTCATTTCATTAAAAATATTTTTTGGTCTTTTTAGCTGACTACACTAGGACGTGGCCTTCTCCATGTTTCTGTAGCCAGCGACATGGCCTGACACCTTGACGACTGGTCTCAGGGCCCTTCGGTGCACTGGCTGGTGCACCATGGAACTGAAAGTATGGGTGGATGGAGTTCAGAGGATTGTTTGTGGGGTCACCGAAGTCACGACTTGCCAGGAAGTTGTAATAGCCTTAGCTCAAGCAATAGGTAAGTGAACTCTCTGGGTGTCTGAGATAAGGTGGTTTGTGCTTCCTGTTGTTTGTTTTTGTTTGTTTCATTTAAACACAGACCTCTAGTGTTTTTTGTTCTTTGGTTCCATAATACATCGCACAGGCAAAATTTTACTTATTGCTGTTCCCCGTGGCTTAGGTAAATCTGTGAAGACACAGACACTTCTCTGATCTCCCCCCTGATTCTGCTGATCTTGAGTGTAGAGCCTGAACTGTCTTGTACTCTCCTGTTGCGTATCCTGCACAGGGATTTCTGGAACTAAAGATGTTTCCATGAGCTGGAACACATTCCTAGTTCCTAGGCCCCTCATTGGGGAAAATCCTGTGTACCAATTATTCTAAATACTTTCAGTAAAGAAAATACAGCAGATTAAATAACATCTTCATTAGAAAGATAATGTATACATTTTTAATCTTATTATATCCAGTGAAGATGAGGCTGTGAAATACATACTTAGCTCCATCTTATTCTCTTACATTATAGCAACTTTTCTTCTTGCTCTCAGTTTATCATAATGATATTTTATGCATTTTTGCTTTTTAGTTGTCTTAAATCCTCCTGGAACATGATAAGAGCGTAAACACCTACATCAGAAAAGCCAGTAATAAGAGTTACAGTTTATATTTGTACCTTAAATTCATTATTTAGCAAACAAATACTGCGAGGAAGCTGTGAGTTCCACACCATGCTAGTGCACAGTGCCTCTGTCTTTGAGCGCCTTGTCAGAAGTATTTTATGCGCACTAATTTATATTGGAAGCATGTCAGGTTACTCAGGGTTGAAACAAGTCCTACTGTCACCATGGTACCTTAGCCTTTCACAGAGATGAGTGTGGCAGATGCACTGTTAGAATGCCAATGCCCTATACGAAGACAGAGGCTTTCTGTAAGTCCTGACATCTATTGATTTTTCCCTTGAATACTGTGTAGCACATTCATCTATTAAAACAATACTGAAAATCCTAGGCTTTCACATCCAGTGAAATTTTCTTGCTTTGGGGACTAACACAATATTTGTGAACTTAAGTTTAATTATTAAAGAGGAGAAATTAAGGTGTTTAATTTTTTTCATATCCTTTGCAACCAACTTATTTAGTAATTGCCCCTTTTAAAAGCTTCCCATAATTTATCTGAGTAAAAATATTCAACTTTTTTGTTTTTTTTTCTGCTTAGTGGAAACTGGAATTAGCAAGTGTTAAATCTAACTTCCTTTGTTATATTTGAGAATCAAGCCATGGGCGGTGGTTTAAAAAAAAAACACGTAGTTTTTACAAAAGTTAAGGTAGTTGAGGAGTGCAGTAAGCTGCATCCGTCCATCTGGTAACCACATTTTCTACACAGAATTTCAAGTATAAAATATCCCCATGTACCAGGTGTGTGCTTGTCCATTTAGACTGAAGAGTGTACTTGCTTATGAAGCTAAAAACAAGTTTTAACTGAATCTACTCCCCTCCTTTTTTGCTGTCTCAACAACTCAGTCCAGAACTGTTTGGAAAAGTTGACAACTTGAATACAGATGTTTTATGGTATTTCTCCAAACGTGGCTAAACAGCTCTTTTTCTATATCGTAAATACTTCATCGAGTTCAGAATTCATCTGGGAAATCACTCAACTGGCAACTGGCCGAGGACTATTGATCTTCCGGCCGAGGATTTCCATTGCGTCGTAAGATTTTCTCAGCATTAAATTTAATATGCTTCTGGTACATACTTAAATATTTATCTGTCTTGTAATGAGAGTTATTGGTATTCAGTTTCTAAACACTAAATGAAAATTTTATAGTATTTTGACCTTTTTTCTACTGTAAGAAATAATAAAATGTTTATTCATTAGGAAAAAATTGCTGCTATAACAAACAACCCCAGAATTTCTGTGACTTAACACAGTAAAGTTTAGCTATCCTATTAGCAGACTATGAACTGACTGAACAAAACAACAGATGTTTCTAAAAAATGTATAATGAAGCAACTCATAAAATAGCTTCTTGGGTTTAAGTCCACCTGTTTGCCTCCTGGGGGGCTCTGTATATGTATTCTTGATAAGGGATTACTGAATTTTTCTGGGCAGCCGAAGTTACTTCCAGGAAACCATCAAGATATAAAAATATATACACAAATTAGTGATCTGCAGATACACGTGGCAGTTAGTATTTTCTGACCCAGTGCCCCTGCTCAACCAGATCACATGAGAGAAGAGCTAAAGATAGAACGTAATTCGATGAAAGCTGTTGAATGTATCCAGTAGAATAGAAAGAAATCCTTTCTACTCTAATCTTTGACTCCCTTGACAGGTAATTAGGTAGTGGAAACAGAATATATTCTCAGGTTATAAGAGACAGAATAACTAAAAGTGAAACCATGATTGAAACACTTAATTGGCATAAAGTGGCTAAACTGCCCGGCCTGAGTACACTGTGTGTTTCGTCACTGTACACCCTGGGCTTCCTGAAACATTCCCCATTTTAAATATTCTACTTTGTTTCTCCCATAAACTGTCCCGGAAATCCCATTATTTCAGAGTTCAGACTGCTTCTCAAATCTGTATGGGAAACAGAAAGCCTCTGACAGTTCATCTGTTTCAAGTTATAGTTGAGAAAATGCATATGCTTTTATAATACCCCAAACTAAAAATGTGAAAAGAATGTATTTCTACCCTCAAGTAGCTTAGAACCTAAGTAGCATACAGCTAACTGAAGAATAGAGAGGAAGAGAAGAGGTGGAGGAAATCGCGGAGACCGAGGGGGAGTTTTCTGATTCGCACTACCGCGTTCCCCGGTGCCGTTTAAAGTACTGAAGATTCAGTTTTTCTCTGTTTCCACTTGTGATCTAGTTCCCGTATCTCCTTCAGCTAGGCCCAGAGTTGGCATTTAATAAAAACAAATTGATTGGCCCTGGGGCCCACGGTGGAGCACACTGTTCCTAAGAAACCGTGTTTCATATAGTTTGCCCCAAGAAAATCCGTTTTCAAACAAATACGTTTTATGCTGAACTCTAGTTTTAATATTTGTTAACACTTCTTCCTCTTCTCTGAAAGTCCCTCCAAAGGAGGGGTCCTGCTTGTTTTATCTTCCTTACACCATTGCTTTGCCCCAAATTCATGCTCTGTAAATACAGTTTCTAGAATAGTACTGTCCAGGAGACGTTTCTGCGAGGATGGTAATATTCTTTATCCATGCTGTCCAGTGTGGTAGCCACCAGCCTCATGCAGCTCCTAAGGACCTAAAGTGTGGCCTGTGTAACCGAGGAAATGAATGTTTAAGTTTAAATGTCGTTAGTGGCTAATGGCTATCATAGCAAACAGCACAGTTCTAGAAGCCGACTAATTGGTATCTCAGACTTAAAATGTCAGAAACCAAGCTCCGTGTCCCAGCTACTGCCCATGCTCAGATTTCCTCCTTCTCATCTCATCAAATGAGAACTCTTTTCTTTTAATTGATTAGACCTAAAACCTTTGTGTAATCTTTGACTGTTTCCTTGCTCTAATATCTTACAACTGGTCCATTAACAAACCCTACCTGTACTACCTTCCATGTAGATCCAGAATCTGGTTGCTTCTCTCCACATGCACTTGTACCACCTTGATGTAAGGCACCATCTTTCTCACTTAGATTTCTGCAGTGGCCTTTCGATTCATTTCCCTGCGTCAACCTGGTCCCCTCCAACCTATTCTCAACGGATTTCTTTTAGAGTAACACTTACAAGAACACATATCATTCCTCTGCTCAAACCCCCCCCCCTCCACCCCCCAGTGGTTTCCTGATTCAGTCAGCAAATTCCAGTCAATGCAGTGGGCTTCAGGGCCCCAAGTGAATCCCTGCTTTACCCCGTCACCAATGTGACCGCATTTCCTACCACTCACTTTTGACTGTCCCCTCTTAAACACACCGAACACATATCTGCCCCAGTCTGTGCATCTGTTCTTTCTGCTGAGAATGCTCTGCACCCAGGTGCCTTCAGATTCACTTCCTGGGATCTCTGCTTCAGTGTCATCCTACCACAGAGCCCCTCTCTGACTTGCATGTCCATGCACACACGCTCACACACTCCCTGTCTTCCATACCCTGTTTTTCTCTACAGAACTGACATATTATATAGAGACCACAAACCATTATCCACATTTTGAAATCTAAACAATTCTGGCAATCTAAAGTTTATCAAACTTCACTTGTTAGCTAAACCTGAAATGGTTTGAACTCATTTAGTGGTAAAAACTGATCTGATTTGATGTGAAGCTGTTTTTTTATTCCATTCGGTATGAACTTTGATTAGGAATTTTAGTATGTTTAATTACAGACCTGTAGGATAGCACCGTGCTACCTTTCTAAAATGCAAAAAGTTCTGAATTTCATCATATCTGGCCTTAAAGCTATTGAATAACGGACAGTAGACCTGTCTATATTCATTTATTTGTGTATTGTATTTATTTCCTGGCACTGTTTTGTTACTGCTTATTTTGTAGCTTAAAACCATGTCTAGCATGGAATAGACACTCAATATATATTTGTGAATAAGCAAATGAATTTCTTATAGTTTTTTCCTAAGATTATATGATCTCTTAGAAGATAAGAAAAAAAATATTTTATATTGTCACGTTTAACTCTTAATCTCATGCATAAATTACCAGTTTTAGAAATTTACAGATAGGTTTTGTATCCATTTACAAAGTAATACTATTCATGTAGGCTATTTTGAAACTTAGAAAAAACACAGAAAAGGTATAAGAATCACTCATGATCCTTCCTCTATAAGTAAACACTATAAGCAGTGCTCTTTACTTACGTATCAGTAAGCATAAAAGAAAAAATTTTGCTCTCCATAATCCTCCAGTTTTAAAAGTCTCATTTTTCATTTACTGGATTGCGAATTAAATTTTCCACATCATTGAATTCTCACAAGTCTATGAGGAAAGCACTATTGTTATCCCCACTTTTCAGATGATCGTGCTGAGGGCACAGAGATGTTAAATAACTTGCCCACGCCTCTGTCGCTAGTAAGGAGGGTGCCGGGATTCAACCCAGTGATGGGATTCAAGAGCCCCGCCCTTACCTACTGTTATACTGTGTTAGTTATACCCCCTACCATCTCAATGGCCAACTGTTAGAAAATACAGTTGCTGTGTCCCCGAATCTTAGTGGTTTATGGTGATAAATGTTAGCAGTTGTTTTGGCTGATATTATTTATATCAAGTAACCAGCTTAATCCCTAGCAAATTGTAGGCATAATACATGTTAATCATTATGAAATCAATAAATGTTTTAATTATTTGTTAAGTAGTAAGCTTATCATATAATCCTAAGTAGGTCTTAAATTAATATACAGTCATTCTGTAATGACATGGCATTCTCATCAATACACTGGGAAAATATACTGCCGATGATTTAACTTTGGGCTGCATGCACAGCTGGCTGACAGTTTATACTCAGAGATATTCTCATATCTCTGTCAGCATAAGATAAATACTCTGTGGTAAGGTTATCTTAACAGCTACATTCTGGGCTGTAGAAAATTCATTGATAAATTTGTAAAATAGTGGTATATCACCAGAAAATTGCTTTAAACTCTTTAAGCTTTGATTTTTACACTTCTAAGTTGAGGATCATAATACCTATGCTGCATAACTCACAGGACCAAATAAGATTATGTATATCATATGTGTATAATATATAGTTTATATATATATATATATATGTAAGCATCCAAAGTACTTAACAGACTCTAAAATGATACAGTGTAAGCTCTGCTACAGAGATCAGTGTTAATTTAAGACTTTTGCATCATTATGGAAAGGATTAATTATGTTCACTAATTCTGTGTAAAAATCAAAAATCTTTACAGCTCAAGGAACAAAACATCCGTTATGAGAAAAATTCAGTGTGGTAGGATAGATTGATTATTCTCCATAGATAAAGAATAAATCAGCTTCCTGGCATTACTTCCAATATGTCCCAAAACAGGAGGATATGTCAACATAAATTCATAAGAGATTCATACCAGTCCCTGTCATGTTCTTTTGAATAATGTACCCTGTTCATCTTTGGGATGAGGAGGATTTGATAGATACTGAAAAAAATATCAAATGTCAGTTAAAACTAAAACTTATAAAGAGGGGTGATGATCAAGGTGTTAATAGAATCTATATCCCCAGGCCTGGCACTATTTCTCACAAATATTTCATGTTCAATATGTACTTGTTGAGTAAATAACAACATGTGACTTTTAAATCATGATTTTGTTACTTGGCTCCAAGGAGAAATTTCCTAAAATTATAAAAAATGGTTACAGTTTTTTTTTAATCATTGAAATAAGAGCATAATATTTCTAGATGACCCATACTTGAATATCTGAATTTCGGTGTATATTTTCAAAAACTTCATTTTACTTCATAGTCATGTATGTATTATTCTGCTTTAAGTTAGGTAAGAGTAATCTGTTATCCTGTTTTCTTTTAATTTCTGTCAGTCATCCAGTAAGATTCCATTAATGTATTAAAATCTCTTTATATTATCTTCCTCATTATATGAAGTTAATGATTCTTGGAATTCATTCAATTGCTTCAACCATACAAAAGTATAGTCAGTATTTTATTAACCATTACTTATTGTGGTACGCAGTCCCAAATAGCCAAAACACTTTAAACTACAAATGCAATAAATGAATAGATAGTCCTTTTTATTAGTTTTACAGCTAAAAGATAGTATGCAAGATAGAACTAAATTTATCCACTTAGTAAAATATACTAAAAGGAGTTTTGCAAGAGGAATTTGAATGTATCTCAATGAAATGGACAGGATCTGTACGGCCTTGCCAAGCATAGAATTAAGAACGATTATGATGGGATTTAACTCCTACACAAACTAAAACCCAATTTCCATTAAAAAATCAAAACTGCTAATTCATTTACGCTTTTATAAAAGCTTTTTTATATCCTGGATGGAATTTTTTTTCTTTTTTTTTAGTGTAATTGCACTAAATATGCATTATTTAACAAAGGGAAAACTGGCAGTAAAAGCAATTCTAAATAATCTTCTACCAAGACATTCGCGCAGCAGCGCCAGTAAGCTTTGTATTTAATTATGACTAAATGAGGGTTTTAAATTTTTTAATGTAGCTTATATAATGTAATGATTCAGTTTTCTTTTTAAAGATGCTATGTTGGCCCTGTAGAATAGAGAGGGCTCTAGGGATCTATTCTAACCCCTCGTATTACTGACGAGGACACAGAGGTCCAGGTAGCAGGAGTGAGTTCCTAACCGTAGTTGAGGGGCAGCAGGCCCCACAAGACCAAGTGCTGTGATCTTTGAAGCAGCGTGTACACACACGGAACAGTTTTAACCACGCAGATATGTCACACAGTTTTGCTTGGGGTCACTGCAGTAATTTTTGACCCCAAAATCATTAGAATCATCTTTGATTCCAAGAAGGCAATCCAGCGTGCTAAGGCTTTCTTTTCCTTCCCCTTGTTTGCCTAGGTATTTGGATGATAGTAACAACTAATATTTGCATAGCATGTTGCAATTTACAAAACATTTTTGTGTTTTACATCTCACTGACTCTCACAACATTGTCAGGTGAAAATACTACTGTCAGCCTATAGATGGAGAAACTGAAGCTGACAGAAATTTAATAATTTGTGCCAATCATGGAAATAAACCACAGAGCTAGATTTGAACACAGGCCTTCCAACCCCAAAGCCCTTGTTCTTTCCACCGTGTCCTTCTTACATAGTTGGGAGTTGCTGGAAGTTGCTTATGGATTTTTTTAAAACCCAGATTTTTGTCATGTCATGTCACTATTTAAAGGAGGTCTGTAGTCAGCCCTTTGTTATGTTGACTAGCAGTGTTTTAAATTCATAATGGCTACCATGTATTGAATGCCTGACAGGGGGCCAGGCAGTGTGATACATGCTGATGACACCTGAGTCACACTCTCAGAACCTGGGAGCTATTGCTACTATCCCCGGTTTAGAAGTGAAGTTACGCTGTTTATCCAGTAAGTAATTTACCCAGGATTAAAACTCCAGTCAGTTTGCCTCTGGGGCTCCACCTCTCCTGCTGCACCCAGTTTCAGGTTTCCTTAAAGGAGAATGTACACATATGCTTAGGACACTATGGTTCTTCATGTGCTGCTTCTGAGGTGCATACATGGGTGTTCATAATTCATATATCCAAGCCTTCATTTATTGACCCAGTAATTGACAAAATACTACTATTAGTTCAGAAGCTCATGATATTAAGAAAGAGGGCAGGAAGATAAACCCATAGCTGGATATGTCAGTATTACCATGGCTAGATGACAGGTCAGGTTTTCTTTCTTTGTAATAATAATACCTGCAAATGACACTTTTTATTGAGATATAATTGACATACTAGTTTCAGGTGTCTAATGGACACTTTTAACAAAATCAGCATAATCATCTGACTCACCCACCTTAAATGATTAGGAAATATTTATAAAGTGTGTTCAAGCTGATGACATTATACTGTCTTCTGAAACTTTATTTCCTATAATTACTAGTTAGGTTCAGTATACTTTTTACTTAAATTTGATTTTATTCTGTTTTTGTTTATTTGATAATACTTCTGCATTCTTAAATTTTGTTAGGAGAATCTTTAAAGCGATTAACTCTCAAAACTGAAGACTCCTTTTCAGGCCCCACTTTTTATATGGAATGATTTTAAAGGGTTGTTTTCATTGAAGTGACTTTTTATTTGCTGCAGGTATGCAGGGAGACAGCAGCTGCAGGGGCTCTGGGCGGGCCGGGCGCTCCTGGGAGGCAGGACAGACCAGCCCAGCCGCCTGTTAGTTGAGTAGCAGGTTCTCCACCAGCTCCACATCTCCTTTCAGTAGAAGAAATGGGACTTCAAATGTTCCCAAGTCCTCATGTGCAAAGAAAGCAGAGAGATTCATGAAGTGCAAGGTTATGCAAGTTCTGAAGTTCTACCTAGCTCCTTAGACCAGACCCTCGTGGCATCCTGGGGACACTCTAATGTCCTTTGTTTCAGCTGGGGGTCTTATCCTAAACAGGAAGGTCCAGGCAGCCAGGCATTTGACAAGAGTATAAGATTCTCACAGAGTGAAGGTATAAAGTTGAATATCTAAGCAATTCTGAAGAGTATATGTAATTGATATTCCTTAATTTGGTGCTCTTCCCTATCTTAAGGAGTCCCGTATCTTGAAGTCAGAGTTTCAGAGGCGGCATGGACTGGACTTTGATTCTAATCGACAAGGCACAGGTATCAGGTAGCCTGTTGGGTTGCATTACTTAAGCCATTGCCCATCTCATGTTGACAATTTATTCTTTTTTTTTTTAATCTAGGTCGAACTGGAAGGTACACTCTTATAGAAAAATGGAGAGATACCGAAAGGCACTTAGCACCTCATGAAAATCCCATCATATCCTTAAACAAGTGGGGGCAGTATGCTAGTGATGTGCAGCTCATTTTACGTCGAACGGGGCCATCTCTCAGTGAGCGACCCACGTCGGATAGTGTGGCACGAATTCCTGAAAGAACTTTATACAGGCAGAGTTTGCCCCCCTTAGCCAAACTGAGGCCTCAGATTGACAAATCAATCAAAAGGAGAGAACCTAAGAGGAAATCACTAACATTTACAGGAGGTGCCAAAGGATTGATGGACATTTTTGGGAAAGGTAAAGAAACTGAATTTAAGCAAAAGGTGCTGAATAACTGCAAAACAACAGCGGATGAGTTAAAGAAGCTGATTCGTTTGCAGACAGAGAAGCTTCAATCCATTGAGAAAGAGCTAGAATCGAATGAAATTGAAATACAGTTCTGGGAGCAAAAATACAGTTCTAACCTTGAAGAGGAAATTGTCCACCTGGAGCAAAAGATCAAAAGAAATGATGTAGAAATTGAAGAGGAAGAATTTTGGGAAAATGAATTACAGATTGAACAAGAAAATGAAAAACAGCTGAAGGATCAACTTCAGGAAATACGACAGAAAATAACAGAATGTGAGAGCAAATTAAAGGACTATTTGGCTCAGATCCAGACTATGGAAAGCGGTCTGGAAGCAGAAAAACTGCAACGGGAAGTTCAGGAGGCACAAGTCAATGAAGAAGAGGTCAAAGGAAAGATCGGGAAGGTCAAAGGGGAAATTGACATTCAAGGCCAGCAGAGCCTGAGGCTGGAAAATGGCATTAAAGCTGTGGAACGATCTCTTGGACAAGCCACCAAACGATTGCAGGTAAGAACATTTTTATAAAAGGAATGTTTCATCTATTTAAAAGAATTAACATATTCTCGGTATTTCCTTTAATGATTGTCCATTTTCTCTTAAAAGTTGGAAACCTACCCTGGTTTATAGGTTTCTTAGAATTTCTGTGATTATGACAAAGCTAGGAAGTGAAGCTAAGACAAAGGTGAGCACTTAAAGCCACACAGAGGGCTGTCTCCTCCTGGGGCAGCTGCAGCACTGGGCACCTGGGCACAGGGGAGCAAAGTCTCAGAGCTGGAATGGATACTAATGATGAGGTAGTGAATCTGACCTTCTCCTTTCAGAGACAGAGATACCGAAGCCTAAAGAGATTCCCCAGGGTTGGTTTAACAGGGATTGTGAGGCCAGTTGCTTGTCTGTCACTCTCCCTTGTCGCTAACCCCATCTTCTTTCCTGCAGTGTCCCCTAAATAGTCCCCTCCCCAGGTCACTTTCCTTTGCTTTCCTGTGGAGAGGGGCACAAAGGCTCCTCCGATTTCTCCCCTGTCCAATCTGAGTACAAGAACATTTATATTTCACCCCATAGACCCTGATCACTCAACTTACATTCCTTGGATACCCATTCTGGAAAAGACAGTGTAGCAATATTATGGGAGTTGCAAAGAGGTATCGGTCTCTAACATGAAATGATAAAGACACACAATTGATTATAAAATGGCCACTGACATTTGAGGTAATTAAAATTAAATAATATTCAATAAAGCAGTTTCAAAATATGGAGTAAATTTAAAATTCTGATTTTAGTCACACCTGGCCATATTTCAGGTGCTCAGTTTCACATATGTGTAGTGGTTTAAATAGAGGCTTGTTCTTCAGAGTGGTGCATATGGCTTCAGGGTGCACTTGTTAGAAATTCAGAATCTATAGTGCAGCAAGATCTCTAGTACCAGAACACAGTGAAGTTTGAGAAGAGCTGCTTTAGAATATGAACAGCTCCACAAGCAGAGAAAGCTGAGGTTTCAGGAAGAACCGATAGGATTTCCTTTCTTTGCCACCAAGTATAGTGAAATGTAAAACTACCACCAAAACTTTGAAAATCGGGAATCTCTCATGCAGGAGTAGACGGTTGTTAACCTCTGATTTGTCAGTATTTTACTACTTGGATTTATTTTGACACTTAAAAGAAGATGCAACTGGAAATTGTGTTGCCTTGGATATTACCTACAGGGAACTCTAAGTGATGACAATCATTACTATTAAATCTCACTACCCATAGAAAAGTGTCTAATAGTCAAACTTTCAACATGTCTCCAGGTACCCCCTACACTCAAAATAAGCAGAGAAAAACAACACTCATTTCTAGTACCTCTTCCCTACCCCTGCCAAATCCTTGGGACACACTCAGCCTGGGTGGGGCCTTGTTACTTTTTCTCACCTACAGTAAAGGGGAAAAAGAGAAGAAAATCCATTTAAATAACTGAATGCCTCTCCTTGCTTTTGGAGCCTTCTGGTTGTCCAGACTTGATCTTGTTTGTGTAGGGCTCTTCAGTTCTCAGACCTGGCGGTGTCAAGGATTTAAGAACCCCATAGTGAGAATCTTGTAGGAACCTTGCTTTCCTGGCGCTAGACTATAAATCTCAGTAACACATCCCATGAAAACCAAAACAATTTACCAAAAATAAGAACTCTGAATCTCATGGACCAAATGACTATCGATTTTGTAACAGTTACGAAGTAGATAATAGGTAACTTAATTGTGAACGGCTGAGCAAGATTGCTGTAAACATTGGGATGGACAGAAACCAGTGTATTTTATTGATGAAAGTTTATAGACATATTTATTTAATCAGCTGTATAGTGTATTCCTAGCAGAGGAAACTGTCGCATTTAAGAGGGACAGACTGAAGAAGCTATTGTCCTTTATTTGCCTATTTTTGGCCCGCGCCACAGGCGAAAGGGACCTCCTTAGCCCATTGTGTCGATGTACACAAGATTCGCTCAATGCTTTCTTGTCAAAGTACCATGCAGTCAACCCCTGTAGCAGATGGTCTGTCACCAGGATGTCTCAGCTGGCCAATAGTGAATCCTCAAATTTAAAAAACGTAACTTCTGTCTAGGACAAAGAACAAGAACTGGAGCAGTTGACTAAAGAGCTCCGGCAGGTCAATCTCCAGCAGTTCATCCAGCAGACGGGGACAAAGGTCACTGTTCTGCCAGCAGAGCCCGTGGACATAGAGGCCTCGCATGCAGATGTAGAAAGGGGTAAGGTGTGGAGAGGTCCACTTTTTTTTACTTTACTCTCACAGGTTGACTTTGAATAAAACTACTTGCATTCAGTTAAAGTATTATCCTACCATTCAAAGCTAGTTCTTGGGCCACTTAAAAGCACTTTTGATGTACTTCCTATTTCTAGGGAAAATCAATACTTTGGTTATTTATTTACCTAGATGAACATTTACTTACCAAATCTCATATCATTCATTTGTTCTTTATAAAACTTTTCCCTCAAGTATATATGAGTCATAGTCTAGTTTTAGCTTCTGTCTGTTCCCAATGCCCCATCCTAAAAGTCTGTTAATTTCTGCAGATACTTAAAAGACCCTTCTAAATTTGCGTGTGCAGATGGTCTGAACAACCAAGAAAGAGAAGCAAAGTGCTTACCTTTTTTAAAAGATTAATAACTGTTCAAATCACTGAAAACTGTTTAATGAACTGACAGGGTTAAGTGAGGTCAGCCCTCTCCTCTCCCCTGAGGACCCCACAGGCGATCGCAAATGTTACTATGTGATACTTGGTTCTTCAGGGCAGGAATAGTTCTTCTTTCCAATTTTTCATATTGCTGAGTACGCCAAGTCGAGGGGAACATCAGGTCACTTTCTTTGTTTCCTGTCTAGAGGCACCCTTCCAGTCTGGGTCCCTGAAGCGGCCTGCTTCATCTCGGCAGCTCCCCAGTAATCTTCGCATCCTGCAGAACCCAATCTCATCTGGTTTCAACCCTGAAGGCATATATGTATAACATTATCTGTCTTCAGGAGAGAGACCCAACAAAGGTACCAAGGACAGTAAAATTCCTTCTTTGTGCCAGTGATGAAAAGAGGATCTATTTCACAAGCCACCATATCTTGTTTCTGTCCTGAATTGCCCACCACTTGGAGCCATACCCTGTGCACTGATGCTAAAGAACAAAGAAACTGTGTTTTCGCACATCAACAGTGTTGACGTTTTTGTCCGGCAGCTGTAATGCAAAGCCTTCCTTTTTATTTGTAGCATTTTGAGAGCAATTAGGAAAGTATTATACTGTGTGTATACATAAATAAAACCATGACTTAAGATGAAGAGAAATATGTGACTGGCTTAGTTTAATTTATTCCATGTAATCAATTAATGTGTGAATGTTGATGTTTTAATATTTTTTATTAATATTTCTCCTGTGACTGAATTACATTGTATATTGTGCGATTATGACTTTGTGCATGTTTCCAGACTCCATCCACGCTGATTTACAACTACACAAGTGTCAGAGGGGGCTCCGCCTTTGAAACTAATTCCAGAGGAGCCCACGTGCATTTATTTAGCGAGCCTGTCCCCGCCATTGCTTAAATAGGTGACATAATTCAGGCTTTCTCTTTAACGTGGAGTGTAATCTTTCCTTTACAGTATTTCCAATATATGAATGACCACTTAACAGAACAGAAATACTTTTCATAAGGTAAATTATATGCTTAAAAGCTTTGCTGTCCTTCAGACACTGAAAAAAATGAACAACAAAAAAAGTACATTTGAACAAAAATGTCGTCGTTTGCATATATATGCAAACAGGCACAGGTTTCCTGCTAACATTGTGTTTGTTGTGTTTCTGCCCTACCTTATTTTAATGTCATGGATCCTCAGAGTTGCCATAATACATAAGTTAGAGATGTCTGAGGACCTGGATGGCCTACTTCAGGAAGATTGCTTGAAGTGATATATTTTTTAAATAACCCACTTCATGTGTATGTCTGTTGGTGTAAGCACCCACGGATAAGTTACTGTTTGCACATGATTTACTCTGAACATAATGGACAATTGTGATTTCTCCAATATCTTAGATAGAAAGTACATTGGAGTTAGGTACTTTTTTACTAAGGAAAAAAAGTTAAGTTCAGTGTTGATTTTCATTTTTGAGCTTGACTTTTACAGAACATTAATTTCCATTTGTACATATATTTTCTTATTTATAAAACCAAAAATAAGTCAACACACCTCCCAGGAGTAGTGACTTAACTAAAATTCACAAGTAATATCTAGATAGATGTGGTCAGATACCTCTTAGTCATTTTTACATTCCCTCGGATCAAAATTTGGTACAATATAATTAAGACTTTAATCTGAAATTTAAAGTAGATTTTAATTCTGAAGAAAATCCATACTCTGTTATTTACATACAACAAAGTAGAAGTGGATTAGTATATTAATGCCATGGTAACAATAAAAAGATGTAAGTTGTATTTTATGCATGAGGGCAGCTTTGGATGTTTTAACACATTTGACTTATTTTTGGTTTAATGAATGCTGAGAATGCTGCTATATTTAGATTTCCAATGAAAAACTTTAAGAATGGCAATGAAAATACATAGAAGCTTCTAGAGAACTGAAAATAATACAGAGTTGCCTCTTCTAGTCCAGCTAAATGGCAGACCTCAACTAAAGGTGTTTTCTTTGGGTTTTTGGAGTCCTGCTTGACCTTGCCATTATACTATTTTGCAAATAACTTGAGAAATAAATTATTCTTTCCTAAGTAACCACAACCTATACACATTTGCTCTGAATTTATAATAGTTATTTCATTTCTACATATATCTAAAAACAAGAATTTAAAAGATCAAAATAATTTGTAGATCTTGTGACAATAGTGGTTTACGGATGTCCAATATATGCCTTATTTTTAAAGGATTCTGTCCTATACTGTCATTTTGTTACTGTCCAGAAAAATTAAGATCTTATTCACAAAGAAAAACGTTTTTATTAATTGATCACATTCTATTCAAATCAAAATGTTAAACTGAAGATATATTTAACTTTGCAATTTTTAATTGCAAAGATGCCTTTGATGTGCCGTGGAAAACATAAAGTCAATATACAACTTAATGTTGTAAATTATTATCAGTATTAACTCAATAACTTTAAAGAAAGACTGCTAGCATTCCTGACAACTTCATCTGAATTTTTAAGCTGCCAAATAATCTTTATGGACCTAATTACAGATAGAAATAATACTATTTCTTAGTTGAGAAGAGTATAAAAATGTGAATTTGATGTATACATTGAGCAATTATACACTTTTTAATCAGTTATATTGCTTCTTGAAGAACATCTCTAAGAAATATTTTCTAATTCTTTTTCTAAAACAAAGGAGAGAAAACTCATTTCCCTAGAACATCTTTAAAACATTTTAGTCTATTCCTAATCATTTTTATCTATTGTGAAGACAAATGAGTTATGTTAAGTGCTACATCTTTAGATACATTTTGGAGGGGGGATTGGGCAATGGGTACAAAAATACTAAATATAAAACTTTGTGTCTGGGGGAATATTCAGGTTCTAATACTAAATTAGTTTACAGGTTTGGGGGTTTTTTTTTTAGTTATACTGCAAGTTTTATTGTGATTTTCTACAAGTATTAAGTACATTGGATGATAATTTTTCTCTTACCCAGGAGTAATTTGAAATATCATTGGTATATTTCACCTTTTGAGTATCTCTCATACTCAGAGAATGATCTGTAGTATCTGCTTCAGTCCTTCTGTTGCTCTTATGAGACATTTTGGCTTGTTAGCATTTTTGTGTGTCCTGGTGCACAGGGAATTTATATGGGAGCCTTCAGTTGGTATTAATAAATACGAGTTACCCATCTAATTCCCTCAGTCATCCCTGAACTCTAATCAATTCCCACAATTCAGATTAGCTATAAACAAGCTAAAAAAAAAAGACTACTACAGTAAAAATACATAACTTGTGGCATGAATGTGAATTTTAATTGTGTTTAAGAAAAACAAATAAGCACTTGCTTCCAGAGCATAAATAAATTTGTACCTGCATTAAAAGAATATTTTCTTTGTGAATAAGAGCAAAATGGTCTTTAGAGAAAAGAAACTTCATTTAAAGCCATTTTCCCAAGTTAGAACTACACTAACGGATTGAGAAAATAACAAAAATGCAAAAACTCTTGATCGCTTGTGTGGTGGGGGTGGGCAGATGGACAGTCCCTGTGCGCATTGCCTTTGAGAAATTGGGCCTTAATTTACGTGTAAATAGCAACTCTGTGCTCCCTTCCCTACTCTACCTGAAGTTGTCTTTATCAGTCTATGTTGTATTAAGACATAGCTCATAAGTATTACTTTTATATTATGTCCATTTTTTTAAGTTGCATGTTTATACCCTTTGCTACTGTATTTTTCAGTTTTGGGTGAAGGCCATCAGCTGTATGGAGAAGACAAAACAATCACTATTTATTCAGTATTGCTGCTTGAGATTTCCAAAATAAGCTTTCGAGGCCAGAATAGTTACTGCTTGAAAGCTGCAGGAGCTCAATTCCAATGCATTTTATATATTTTTAGAAACCAAATAAATGCAAATAACTATTTAGTATACTAATTATATTAAACCAGCAGAAATATAAAGGCAATAAAGTATATACATATATATATGGGGGGAAGGGAAAGATTAAAAAATAGGTTTACAGCAGACATGGTGACAGCCCCAAATGTATTTCTCAATCAGTCTTTCTTTATTGACCCAAGCAGGATTTGAGTTACTGCAGCTTTAAACAGAAAATTGCCATGTTCACTAATTGTGGACACATAAATATGCGTTTAGTACTGCTTTGCTTATGTACAAATAAAATATCTGTAATCTGTATTATATGTAATTATTCTCTTCTTTTGACTTTATTTCAACATGTGTATTTGCTGATTATTATCATGAGCTGTAAACAAAGGATCGATATCTGATCGTCTCCCAAATAATAAATTTTCAGGATTCATTGGGGCATTACAATTGCTGGTTTTTTCATATGTATTTAATATTTTTAAATATAATTTTGCTTCCTTTAAAAGATGCCAGAGAGAGGATGTCTGCATATCAGTAGTACAAAACTACATTTTTCTAAAAATAATGCTAATTATTATAATGAAAGAACTACCTATTGCTAAAAAGATAGCTGTTTCAACCAAGCAAAACTGAATTAAGAAACTAATATTCCTCCCTTTTATTTCAAAAGTAAAAGAAAAATGTTATTTCTTAATGAAGCTCTGTGTTCCCAGATTTCCTTAAAACCATAAGTAAAAGAGGAGAACTAGCAGTTCAGTACTTACTGTGTACCAGGTACATTAAAAAGCCGTCCAGGGACCTTCTCTCAGATCACACAATTAATAAGTAGCTCATATAGCATTTGAGTTTACACCTTATAGATACCAAAGAACTTTCCTGTATCCCATGATAAAGCTGCACAAGCTTTGCAATACCCAGTTTCTACATTTTAACCACTTTTTAATGTAAAGTAATGTAAAAGTATATAAATCGTCATTTTAAATTTTTTGTAAGTAGAAGTTAGGTACTGATCACAAAATATGTATTATATAAATAATAGTATGTTATAAAAGCAAAGATAAAAACAAAATAATAGAGAGCCCTGTAGTCTTTACTGCAAAATGGCGTGGACTGGGGAAAAGCTATTTGCAACACCGGATTTAACCATCAGGCGCTCTGGTATGTCGGAATCCTGTTTTCCCAGCATTATCCTTGGCTTGGTGTTCTATTTGGCCACTTATTCCAGAGACTTCTAGAGTTTAATCGTCCTATCCTCCTCTGCAGTCATGTTTTGTTCATGGCAGAGCAAGAAATAAACTCCTGTTCACCTGCTGCCTACTGCACGTATTTGTGCTGCCTCCCTTATGAAAAGCCAGGGGACTCCTAGGAAATGGACAAAACACATGACACATATTCATGCAGACATTTAGTGAGTCTCTGTTGTTGGCCAGACAGTAGACTGAAATTAGTAGAATTTGCTTTGCACCTCAAGGAGGTTCCAGTCTCGTGATCACCATTAAAGGAAAGAGGATAGAGTGCCATGGAAACACACCAGGGGGATTTACCCCAGCCCAGAGTTCTGGCAGACCCTGAAGAAGGAGATAATGACTGGGGATGACTATCTGGCACAGACTAGAAGCTAAAGAGCCCGTGGGATTGTGACCAGCTGGTAGTGTGAGGGAGGGCTGAGAGAAGGTAGGCATCAGATCCTGAAAGGCCTGGCCTGCCACGGTAAGTAAGGAATTTGGACTTATCCTTAGAACCATGAAGTTTTAAGCATGGAAATGAAATGATCAGACTACCATATTAAGATCCTCTGGCAGGCATGGTGGGTAACTGACTGGAGAAGTTTCAAGACTACAGGCAAGAAAAACCACTCGAGAAGTCCACAGGAGTCCAGGCCAGAGGTGCTGGCAACCTGAACTAAGAAGGTAAGCTGTTGAGGTTTATTCAATAACCAATTTTTATTAAGCACCTATTTTGTGCCAGGAGAAGAGAATCAAGTAGGTTATAGACATCCTAAGTAGACAGTTGTAAAAGAATATGCTGTTTAAATATCCTTTTGAGATATTTAATAAAAGAATATTAAATATCAAAATAAAAGAATCCAAGGAACCCCAAGTGTTGGACAGCTTTCCACAGCCTCAAATGGCTGGTGGAAATGGTGCTGCGGGTCTCTCGGTGATGAGAAGTCACAGATACTTTCTTCTGCGTGCTGAAGGGCATAAGATTGGGCCAGGAGAAGGGAAAAGAGAATATAAAGACATGGGGAATACATAGTTGAGAGGTGGGCCTTTAAATGGGCCTCCCCCCTTGTAGAGAGCCCTGTAGTCTTTACTGCAAAATGGCGTGGACTGGGGAAAAGCTATTTGCAACACCGGATTTAACCATCAGGCGCTCTGGTATGTCGGAATCCTGTTTTCCCAGCATTATCCTTGGCTTGGTGTTCTATTTGGCCACTTAATTCATCTGCTGTACGTAGCCAAGATGAGAGAAGGGTCTGACTATTGATCCAAAATGAAAAAAAGTAGAGGGTGGATAACACAAACTCACCTTTGTCTATGCCAAGCTAATATTTACTAGTTATCTGCAACTGTAGCGTATGAAAATCAAATAAACGAATTGGAATACTTAGTAACAAATGATTTTTTCAAGCATAAAAAAAGTCAGACACAGGCAACACAATGAGCTACAATGCTGTGTGCAAAAAGTAGCCCAGGAAAGGAAGCTGAGGAAAGCTGGAACAGGGGAGGAATGTACACCAGGAGCCCCCCACTCCGCCAAGAGGGCAGCCGTCGTAGCAGTCCTGGAGCTGTGCCCCGCGTCCCCATCATGCCACCAAGCCCAGCCTGCACCAGAACCCTCAGGGGCTACTAGCCTGGGCAAGTTGAAAGGCTCTGTTTCCTTAAGACCCCACGGAAGAAACAATTTCTCACCAATATATCAGTGCTTCAGTTATTTGTCACCTCTAGGATGTCCCCAAGTGTTCTCTTTCCCAGGCTAAATATTCCCAATTCTTTCAAATAGCTTAATTTCCAGTCTTCTTCCTCCTGAACACGCTGTACATCACTCTCCAATGTGGCAGCCAGGACTGATCACAAAACTCCCAAGATCGGCGTGGAGGAACTTGGTCCATCGTTTTGCAGCCTAAACCTAAACTGGGTGTGTGGGTGGGTTGGGCATGTGGGAAGGTGGGTGGGTGGTTAGTGTTTTGTGAACCTCATTATTGAATCACAAGCTGATAGTTGGCTAAAGGCCTGTCTCACATTTTCTGTGTGTGTAATTGAGTTTCAGGATGCATGTGCAGAATCTTAATTTATCAAAATACTTAACATCTCTGAACAATTTGAAAGTGATACATCCCAGAAGGAAGATGCGAGCTTTAATGTCCGATCAGCACAGGAAGTGAGGGGGAAAACCAGGAATGGATGCATTGAGGATGTGGATTAGGCTCCTGCAGAGTAAATAGGCTGTCACTCGCTCCCATTTATTGACTGCCTACTGCATGCTGGACCCTGAAGATACAGCAGTGAAAAAAGACCCAAATCCCTGCCCACCTGAAGATTATATTCAGGAGGGGAAAACAAAGAACAAAGAAATAAAGAGTAGTTTCATTATAATAATGAGCTAAGGAGAAAAGGCAGTAAAGCAGCAAAGAGCTATAGGCAGTGCCCAAAGTTGGGGAGAGACTGTCATTTTATACAGAAGGCCTCTCTTAAACAGTGATGTTGGGGTGCAGACTGAAAGGAAGTACAGGCGCACCTGCAGAAATGAAGAGGGGGTATCGGCCGCAGAGCCCACGTCAGGCTTCTGTAAGAAAGATTTGGGATGCCTGAGAAGCCTGTGGCGTCCAGCTCTCTGTTTCTAAGCAACTGACTCAGAGTGAGCAGGCCTTCTGGCCGTGAGCCAGTAACCCTTCTCCCAATTACTCATTCAATCAATCCTCTCAAATCTAATAAAATCAAGAGAGAAGGTACTTTAAAGGTATTAAAAACATCTTTAAAATCTGAATTGAATTGCCCTTAATCCTTTCCAAATTAAAATCGAATTCATAGGTAAAAATGCCCTTCTATGAATAGACTTAAACTTGCTCTACTCCATTTTACAAAAGAGTGGCTAAAGGAATTCTTTTTTTTTTAATTTTGCTAGACATCCCCTTCAAATGTAATGCATCCTTCTAACACAAATATACGGGTTTCTTTATTCAAGATCTTACACGAAAATAAGCCATTGTCATACACTCTACCGTATATTGATCAGTATTACTGTCTGTTTACAGACGGACTCTGCAACTTGAAACCCACTGGCTCCTACGAGGGCTTTGAGGGGAGCATGTGCATTGATGAGGGTGACAAGCAGAAGAGACCAGAGAGGTAAACTGATGAAATAGAAGCAGAAAATATCAGAAGGATCGTCATCTAAAAGCAGATGGGTCAAACACATGTTGGAACAGAATTGTACTTAGGTAATCGGGTGATATGAGGACAAATTTAACCAATGCCTTTTATTTAGTCTTTGCTTGCTTTTACTTTTGTTGTTAGCAACTCCACAGATTTTCTAGAAAATATGAACAGTATCATCTTTCTCTGCTCCTCTGGCCTCCATGCCCAGAAAAGAGAAAAAGTTCATTATGTATGCAAACACGCGGGCTCTTCCTACCTCTCAGGGTGGCAATTGCTTTGGGAGGTGGGTGACTTAAGCAAAGAGAATGTGAGATGGGAGCGTACTGCTCTGCCAACAGTCTTCCTGACTTGAAGGTAACAGGCCAACAGAAGGAATAGACCCAACTAGACCAGCGGAGCGAGGGCTGAATAGGGAAGTAACACAACACCGGAAATGAAATGGCCCAGGACGGGGCAGGGGGAGCGGATGAAGCTGTGGACGCAGCCCCACTCACACAGGCTGCTGAGGCATCCACTGGGCTTGGCTGGAGGGCATGGGGGCGCCTGAGTGGAGGTGGGGAGAGTAGAGCTCCTGGCACAGCCTGCTGCCTTCAAATGCTTCCCCCTCCACTGGGGCTGCGAACCAGGCCCCTCTTCTTTTTCCCTGAATTTTATGGGTCCAGGGTGCCATCTAAAGGGAGGCAAAGGGAGAAGGTAAGGAAAGTACCAAAAATGGACTGATATTGTACGGAAGTAAGAAAAAAGAACAAGTGTGATATTTATTTAACTTTTAATGTTGTGGAGAAATGTACACCTATGTCATTAAGTTTACCTTCCATTGCCAGAGTTTTCATTTCTGATAGATTTTATTGGAAATGGTTTATAATAGGTTGACGCTATGTTTGTTTGAATTCTCTGTTTTCCGACTCTGTCAGATACTTTCAGAGAAAAAAAAATAGTAGAGTAGAAATTACAAAGGACACAAATAAATGAAATCCTAGTCCTAACATCATCTCTATTTCCTAAAAGCCACAGGCTTTGGGGCAAAGCACAGAGTCTCTCGGGCATGGCATTCAGTTTCCACCTTTGTAAAATGAAGATCTAAGATGAGATGGTTTCTCTTTTCCAGCTCTAGCCCCGACAATTCCATAATTAGTAACAAAGACAGTAAATGGAGAAAGGTTTGAAAAGGTTTGAAAGGTTTGAAAATGATGAATATTAAGGACCGGAATCACAAATACAGCAGCATTTAAATTTGTCAGTGAATTCAATCTATTTAAAGTTTATTACAGAACATTGTCCACCATATGGGCAGCCAGGGAAGATAGAGAGCAATTAAGAAGTAATCAGACTGAAGAAAGGTCAGTCATCCTAACACACAGGATGGGGACTGTCCCCGACTCAGCGTGCCCGGACAGAACCTTTGACTAACACGTGGCAGTTCCATGCCCTCACTCTGGGGGCTGGGCACCTGGCTGCCTATTGCCCCTAAGGATGGCTCCTGAGTGAGCAGTGCCTTGTGTTGCCCATCTTCACACTGATTCTCACTATTTAACTGCCCTACTGGTTTTAGCTAACAACGTTACCTACCATCCCCTCTTGCCCACCACTTTACAGTCTCCTATTATATGCCAATAGCCCCCTTTAATTTCTGCCACATCCTTTACTGTCTACCATAATTTGACGGTGATTTGTCTGATGATGTAGTATCTGTCTTCGCTCTGCTGCAGCGACCATGTCTGTTTGGTTACCCCTCAATTTCCAGTACCTGCCACCGGCCCTGGCAATCAATATTAATTGAATGAAAAGATGAATGAATGAGTTCCATCTTGCATGTGAGATGAAGACTCATTAACCAAGTCAAGTCATGAACAAGATAATAAAAATATCCACCCATTTTTATTATATGTATTATATACAGCCTACCCACCGTCCACCCCAGGTGGCCTCTGCATCTCTCCTAGACTTCAGTCTCCTGGCCGCGGCGCTGGTGCTGAAGGAGGGGGTGAGGGAGAGGCAGGCACCAAGACGGCGGCCTGTTGCTGGGGACCTGGTGCTGCCCTCTTGCCCTTTCTCTGCTTGTTTGGCAAAGCTCGGCATATGCTCTGTGAACTGGGCTCCTACTTACAAGAAGTCTGCCTGTTTGCAGAAGGCCTTAGCTTGGGCCCGATGGCTTTACCCTTGTGCGCAGGACTGTACTGACTTAAAAACCTGATCTCTCACCTCTCATCAACTTCATCTGTATCATGGATCCAGTATACAAACGCTCAAGCCAGAAATATGTGGTATTTGTATTTCTCCAAACGAGTCAGTTTAGGATCACCTCTCATTCCTAATGCAGAAATTCCATCTCTGTCTGAGAAGCTGGGTTACGTAACCTGAGGTCAGCCCTTGATGCAGGATGCCAAGCCCTATAGGTGCATGTCCAGCGGCCAGGTGTGTCCTTTGCGTCAATTTCCTTTGTCTTTCCCAGAGCTCCGTCCCTCATCAGGGCCTCTCCATCTGCTGTACCTGCTTATCTGCCCCTCTTTCTCCTGCAGGCCGCAGCTCCCTCTTGCTGCATAATTTCTTCAAAAATCCATTAGGCCTAATACCTCTCATTTAAGACAAGCACAGTAATTCTTGCCCAAATGGAAATGAACTACCTTTCTTCACCTTACGATGCATCAAAGCAAATTCTCAACGTTTGAATGGCTCAACGTGCTTTTTGATGATTCTTTTACTTGTTTGTTCGATTTATCACAACTCAGAGAAAATCTGTTCACAGTAGACTCTCCCCAACCCTCTGCTGACCTTTTTACTTGATTAAGAAAAAGCCTCCTTTTCTCCAGACCAGCCTGCAGCACAGAGTCAGAAAGTCTGCCTGGGGGGGGGCAGGTGGTTAAAGCCTGGCGCCGCGTCCTTCCTGCCTCCCCAGTCGTCCCGGGCTCTCCGCCGTCCCCTCTCAGACGCGGTTATTAAGGGTCCCCCTCGCGGTGCTGCACTGCGCCATGGCCGTGCCCGCCTCCCTGCGTGGTCGCCCGGTGCCCTCTGCAGGCCGACTCTGTTTTGACTGTGTTGTATCCAGGGCTCTTTTAAGTTGAGCTCCTTCAAACATTATACAAAAAACCAGAGTTCCATCGTAACACATTGTGAACGTTACCTGTAATTACCCCAGAATTCCCATCTGTTCAAAGTTGCGGACTTTTTTTTTTTCATGCTTCTCAATTGCATTAAAAACTTTCTATCTTCACTGAGACTCCGGCGCTTGGAAGACATTCAAATTTGGGGTGAAGTTCTGAAATGGATAATAATGCTGTGATTTTAATTTACTTTAAAAATCCCTTGGCATAGAAAACTAATTACTTTCTTGTTTTCCTTTTGTTGTGGATCACTACCCCAAGTCTATATTTTTATTTGAACCTGCATGTTGAAGAGAAAACATTTGGAGCGTGCTGAGTTGAAGAGTAGAAAGATTTGTAAAGAGCAATAAACTAGGTTCTAGGCCTAATTCTCTGCAATCTACGGTGATGCCTTGAAAAGCCATTTCACTCTTCTGGGCTTTAGTGTTGTCTATAAAATTAAAGGACTGACTGGGATGGTTTCTAAGATTTCTTTCAGCTCTGAAAATTAGTCACCTTATGCTTACTCCTGGGTCACTCTTCTCTGGTAAATACGTATTAGTTTTTAAAAGTCATCTAAATTAGTTTTATTTCCTATCTTGTCTTTTGTGCCTTTTAATTATCATACTTATAGATTAATGACTGTTGCTTTGCTCTAATGTCTTAAACAGAGATCAATGATTTTACAAGTAGATCTTTCAAGAAAAACAATGACATGTGGGCATGTTCTTAAATTTTTTCAAAAATTTGTTTTCTTTCACTGTTCCCTTTCCAACTTATTTATCATTAGGTATTTCTTTGCCCTGTCGATTCTTTAGTATCTAGTATCAGCTTTTAACCAGGAATAATAACTAATCTAAGAATAATCTAAGAAGAATATTCTCTGCATACATAATATATGGCCTCTGTTGTGTACATGTGACAGATGCACTTAATTCTTACATGATTGCTTCAGCTTCTTTATCTGTAAATAAGAAAATCTTATGTGTAGACTTGGCACATGGCTTGGACTACACGATTCTAAGATTCATTCTAACTCTCACAGGCCTGTGGTTTGGACTTACCAGTCAACTGTATAAATGCTTTCAATAATTATTAAGAGTCAGGACTTTACTTCTTTATAAAGACTAGCAGAAATGAAGCAAAATCCATGGAATCTTCCATTGTAAGAAAACTTCCATTGTAGGAAAGCTTCCATTGTTAGGGGCAAGATACCCATCTAGCCCTATCTATTTTGGATCTACAGTGGTAGACTAATTAGCCAAGGCCACAAACCAGTAGAATAAAAACTCACTTCATTAAAACAGGGGCACATGCATTCAAAAAATAGTTCTCATATCTGGCTGATTCTGAAGATCATTACTATCTTTCAAAATAAAGGTGAAATAAACAAAGTTGAAAGAATTCATCACCAGGAGACCTGCACTACAAAAAATGTTAAAGGGAGTCCTTCAGGCAGAAAGAGAATCATACCAGTCAGAAATATGGGTCTATACAAAGGAAAAAGAGCTCCACGTGGATACAAATTTCATTAGCTGGTGTCCCAGCCTCTACCAGATCAGAGGCAGCAAATAAAGGAATGGAGAATAGAAGGTCTGCTAGAAACATACACTGATCATCCTACACCCAGGGAAAAAAAAGAGGAAAAACAAAATGTACTGGAGGAAGAGGAGAAAATGGGGAGAAGAAGAAAGAATTTTAAATTTCTAATAGTTACATATTAGTGTTGGCCATCTGGAAAAAAATTAAATCAGATTCAAAATACCCTTTGAGACAGCAGGAAGGTAAGATATCTCCGTGAGAGATTTTTGTCTAAGTTGACTAGAATAGAATTTCATTACTGAACTAGCAAATTCTTTCTTATTGGACCTTTTGCTGTTTCCTTACAGTCTCATAGCTATTGTTCTGATTCCCACATGAGGTGAGTCCCGGGAGGCAGGAGCTCTGCCTTGTGCCTCTGCAGTCCCTCCTCCCCCTTTCCCAGCACATGCTCTCAGCCTGGGACTCAGAACAAAAGCACTTGGACTGGATCTCTGATAAAGTAATAAGTTTCACACTTAAAATTCGGTCCTTCTACCAGGCATATTTAGCCAGCCCTTTTGAAAAGTTAAGCTGAAGGTACCCTAGTACTTGTCTGTTCTTAAATACTATGAGGCTTTACAAGTGAACTTAATTGTGCCTCTTGTCACAGGTTTCCCTGGTTTCTTTTCAGAAAATATCCTTCTAGTCTTTTAGAGCATGCCCCACTAGATGTAGTTTCTCTCATTGCTGTGCTAATATCCCTTCATCAAAAGTATGAGTCTGAACGCAAACCACAGTGCAAATCACAGCAGACAGGGGCCGGGCCCAGCACACAGCTCCAGCCACAGAATCCCCTTTCAGCTGCCCTTGGCTGGGCACCTGTGCAGGCGTGATTGCACACTAAGAAAAGCCCCTCTTTTCTGCCACAGGGTCTGAGTCATACATTCCTATTTGGAACTGATGGCAGTCCAGGCAAGCAAACAGATTCTGGTTGTACTTTCCTGGAACTGGTTCAAGTTACACAGGGCCAGCTTCATGAGTGTGCAACCTGTGTAGTCACACAGGGCCCTGAACTCAGGAGGACTCTGTGCTTGGTTTAATGCTTTGCTGTCACTATCATGAAATTCTTAATCATTTTATTTTTTGTTCTGTAAGTGAAGTCAGAAGTGACAATGAAGCATGCGTGTGAGCAGAAGAGATACAGTCAACATGCCTCCATTATACCTCCACATTCACAGCGCTCCCCATGTCCCATGGACACAGAATTCCATGCGAGAGTTCAGCAAGACTCAAACCAAGTACAAGGTAAGTGTGCTACACCCATGATTGAGCAAATGGCAGCACTGAGAGCCCCGGGAGGCCATTCTCTCCTTTGGAACCATAACTCGCTTCTGATGCAGATCGAAGGCAATTGTGTTTTAAGAAACAAATGGCCAAGGAACCCCACCATAGCCTTTCTTACTCATGTAACTTAGCCAACCACTTATTCTGCATATATTGACATAGAAGAAAAAGGAAAGATAAGGCAACCCATTGTCCCGTTTTCAATCCTTACTTTCTCATCAGTGAGCCGGAGGCAGAGAGTGCTGGTTGAATGTGCACAAATAAGGAAATGAAATAAAAACAGTTGAAGTACCTTTATTCAGCATTTCCACCATTCTGGGAAGAACAAAATACACATGCACGTATAAGCTACAAAATAAAAACAGTGTAATTTCAGTAATTACACAGTACAAGTTATGTTTACACTCAAAACAGTTATATTTGTGCTGATATTTGCACTTATAATCTGCATTGCACAACTAAAGATGAATGATAAAATTCATGCTATTAATTAAAATTTTTAAGTTTTCTCTACTTTAGAATGGCATTAATTAGCAAGTAAAAACCATCATAAGAAATCAAGAGAGAGATTGCAGAAGAAAGGAAATGATATTTTAGTGACTTTAATGGTACGCTTTTCCTGTTTTTTAAGCAATGGTTCTCTGTTTTGCAAGCAAGGGGTTTTCATTTAGTAGTAGGCTCTGCAAATTATATAGCCAGCCCTGAAGTGGGAAAAGCAGAAAATGATGAGAAAGTCAGACTTGAAGCAAGGATAGCAAAACATTTAAACAAGTGCTTCTGCAGGCAGTGATAAATAGGTGTTATAACTACTCATTCTGAGGGAATGATAAACTGAAAACTTCTCAGTTACCTCCATTCAACAAACTACATTTCCCATGCATTTATTTGGCCACAGCCTCCAATTTCAACCCAATGTCTGCAGTAACAACGAGTATTACACTAGGGGGCAGCAGCTACCGCCTGTCAACCTTCCAGGGTTTCAAAAGGGCAGGATTCGAGGTAGGGTGGTCCCTTACTGGAAGCGAATATGAGAAAAGGAGGAGATACTACTCACTACTTAAGAAGGTTGCTGTTGATATTAATTTGCTTTGCTGCATTATTTTTGATAGAAGATGGTCCTCTTACTCTAATAACATAAAGTGTTTCTTTACCCCAAAAGAAACAGCAGTGAACATTTTATCTGCTCACAAGCCGTGACTCATTCCCAAAGTGACAAAGTAGCAGCTTGTAACAGCATTTAAAACTTAGTTTCTTCCTGGAGCCTAGTAGTAATTGTTAGTTTTTATCTACTATGGATTCCATCAAAAAGAACAGCTCATTGCACTGAGGCCACTTAGCAGCTATCACATGATACCAATTTTGTAACTTGCCAGGGGTGCAGATTTCAGAGGGGAACTGCCCGATCAAGGGGTTAGTAAACCATTAGAAAACCCACACTCAGCCACTCACCTTGGCTTGAACTGCTGAAGAATCAGAATGTCCTAAACAGACACCAGAACCTGGAAGTTCGCATTTTAAAGGAAATAATTTGCAAAGATGACTGACTGTATTGCCAAAATATAGGAAGTGGTTCAGTCAGTACAGAGGTGAGACCAGCACTGCCCTCCCAGTGAGTGGGCTCACACATGGCTTGCAGTATTGTACTCAATTGTTCAAACGGGATTTTCCAAATACAAATTTTGTGGAAAGTGGACTTGGAAGTTCTATGAAACAATATGCTGAGAAACCCCTGTTGTGAACTCCCGTGTCTCTGGCAGGACTTTATAAAAAAAAAAAAAAAGTTCCTTCTTTTATCGCAGCTTATCACAAACCTCCAGACAAGAGCTTTTCCACAGAGGCAGTCCTACCCACAAGGGGCATTAGGAAATTGTCAGGGGTGTTCCTGAAGGCCCCATGATTAGAGGCACTAGTTCTATGTAATATAGTGGAGAGCCAGGGATGTTAAACCTCCCAGGGATGTTATGGGACCCCCAAACTATGATAAATGACTGTCACATGTCTCCTACAACTTTCAATTTGCCCTGCCGTAAATTTACAGGTGAAAAACTTGTGTATAATTTTTTGAACCTAGAAACTAAGTATTTTATATATAAGCAGAAATTATTGTTCACATGGTTGTTAAATAAAATTGAGTGTTCCAGGAATACAACCACCAGGGAAGTGGAGATTGTGCTATATTTCATTCAGAGCTTTGCCAAGAGTTGTCCAGATCGGGTCACCAGCACCATCTCAGCTTGTAGAACTGACTCATTAATACAACACATGGGCAACAGCATGCATTTGTAGTTCTTGGTTCATGATGGTTCTTCATATATATTTAAATATACCTTTTTAGTCGTTACTCAAAATGTCAAATATGAAAAGCAGAGTCAACTTGAAGATTTTCCTGCATCTCTTAAACTCCAACATACTCATTTTTACCAGGGTAAGCATCTGATCACTTCATATGTTTTATAGTATAGCTATATCTTTGCATTTCCATAGTTAAACATATATTTCTTTCCTTGTATTCCTTTTTCTTACATGATATGGATATAAATATACAGTTTTCAAAAGTATGTAGCATTCAATTATTTCATTCATTAAGTATTGCCAAGTCCCTATTAGATATAAGGTATTTTGTCATTAAATAGATGGTGTCTAAATTGCACCAAAATCATTGTACCCTAAAGAAAACCTCTGGAAAAAAACAACCAAACAAACAAGCATGGATTTAACAAGATACTACAATAGGTGATAAAACAATTGACAAGGTGAAATTTTCACCAAGATATTTTGGAAGTGTTTAATTTGCATCTTATCTGTATTAGGCAGCATAGGTCCCAATAAGCCAAATTAGGGTAGATATGCAAGAAAAAATAAAGTTAAAACTTAAAAAAAGAAATTCACATTCGGGGGAATAAAGCAGTTTTTAAGTGGAAAAAAAACTCTTAAAATGTGATAAGTAAAAATGACGATACTCTTATTTTTTACCCAAATTCATATCTTAAAAAATCAGAATCACAATGACTGCGAAATTAGCCCAGTTTTTAAAGTTCTTTTGTATGATTGGAATCAAATTCTTTACAGTAAATTTAGTAATAGAAATAGTCTTCTGCAAATACTAGAAACAAATATTACTACAGAGATTTTTTTCTTTCCCCTGGCTAGTCGCTAAAATCAAGTTTGGCATACCAAAGGCAAAATAGTCCTCGGCAGAGTGGCTGTGTGACCAGAAGTCACTTAAGCAACCATTGCCTGGATTCCCTTTAATGGTAGCACCTACCTTGTAAATTAAATGAATTTGTACATGTTGTGTTCTTAGCACAGTGCCCAACATATATAATAAGTGGCAATAACAAACAGCCATTATCAGATTTCTTCTCCAAATCAGAAACATGAAGACTATTGACGGGAACAACTGCCTAATTTTGGAAGGGCCATCTTGACCTGACTAGACAGTCACGTAACTTGCTTAGGACTTCAGGGTTCCAGATGTGAGAGGTAACAACCAGGCCCAGTGCAATTCAGAGTATCTGACAGCTGGGAATTCCTGGGATGTTCCTGACTTAGTCATATTCAGTTCTTCTAGTTAGAAAAATAGATCTGTGTGGATTTTAGATAATTGGAGTTTGTTACCTAGCAACAGATTGAAGTTCCTGCAGCAATTCTGAATTATCTCATTAGTGAAGCAACTTCCTGATAGGTGGCGGTTGACTCTGACCACAGTGAACCCAAGAACTCATGGTCCTCTGACCCAGAAAAAAACCCATGTGAGAGCTCATTAGGTGGCAAGACACCAGGAAAACTAGTTTTACAACCTATCAGGTGGCTAAAGGTTGGTCGCATTGTTGGGGGAGCAGGAAGCTCAGGGCCAGTGCACTTCACAGGGGGCCATCAGGGTGGAATGCACTGCATGGGAACAGCCTCCAGAATTTTGTGCACCTCTGAGGCCCTATAAAGGACCTACTCTGGGGCATGCTCTAGGGTCTGGGGCGTGCAGGCCTATTAATACCAAAAGGAAGCTACATCTGTCCTTCCTTCCAGTCTTCCCACAATTGCATAACCACTGAACTAGCCCAGAAAGAAATGCAAATACGAAGAGGTTTTAGATTATGTCATTTAACCCTTATAACTATCTTATCATCATTAAAATCATCCTCTTTAGGGGCAAGGAAAGATAGATGTAGAGATGTGAACACTTAAGGTCACAAACCTGATGAGTGAGACGCAAACCAGGCTGTCTGACTTCAAATTCCACGCTCCTGACGGCTGTGCTAGGCTGCCTCCCTGGAACCAGTTACAACCGAAGTTAGCTTTTCTTAACAACTGTTTAGTGTTTTAATGTTCATGACGCTGGTGGACCTTATATCATCATTATCATCATTAGTGCCATTACATAGATAAGAAAACAGACAAAAAGTTATCTAAGTGACTTTCCCCAGTTTATGCAATTAGGTAGTGGAGCCAGAATTTGCATCCCAGGTCTTTTGAATCTAGGTAGAATTTACAACAGGAATGTTCAAACAGGATGGGGTGAGCTGTGCTGAGCACCCAGCTTAAAGGGAAGAAGCTCTGAAATCAGGACCTTAGCCTGTTTTTGTCTTTGCTTTGTCTGCTAAGACAATGCTTTTGCATGAATAAAAACATCTGATGATAACCCGCTTCCTGATTACTGCAGTGGTGCCTTCTAGCTCTATGTCTTTCTGTAACTGATATATAGGATTTGTATTATCTGGAAATGTCTTCTCTGTTTGTCATGAATATTGGTGACAGCAATATCCCCTTAAAGTAATATGTCAAGAACATTCAGCTTCTCATGGACGGGATCAATAAGCAACTATCCGTCCAAGCTGCCAAGACCTAGATCGGAAGATGAGGAACTTCCATTCCCACCCCGCGTCTCCCAAACTCCAGGAGGACAAACATCTCTGAATTTGAGGGAAAATGCCGTTTTCAAACTTACTCCATTACTTTTATCTAATAGGCTGTTGTTTAGTATGGATTTCAGAGGGTCTGATGAAGGCAGGTAGCTGAATCTATAGGAGATTCTTCAGTGAGAGAAAGGAAATAACCAGTATAGATGTCTGTCAAAGGTTGCCCACTGAGCTGGTCTTGAGACATTGTGTTCCTGGTCTCATAACACTGGCAGGCATCACGAGGAATTTTTGTGAGCTCAGATGTCTGCAACCATAAAGAGGCCTCAGGGACAAAAGGAAGAATAGTTACTGGAACCAGTTACCTCACACCCATTTTACCACATTTTCCCCTCCAGGGACTCTGTCTTTTCATCTAGAAAACTTTTTTTTTTAGAGGGGTTGGGGATTATAAAACATGGTAAATGTTTCATCAGCTTATCCCTTAGGCTTAATTGTAAAATTTATTTAACTTTCTCTAGCTAGTTTATTATCAATTTATAATAATAAATATAGAGTATTTTATTCTCATGAGATAACACTTCCTCAAAAATAGTTTCAAGCCATGAAGTAAAAGATAATGCAAAGCTTTTTTCAACTACATAATAAACTGTCAGTACCACCAAATTTTATCTATTTCTAAGAGTTGAGACATAATAAATCTGAAAGAGCCATCTAGTTTAAGAATAAATTAGTGAACAAGTGAATTTTTAATCTACTTATGAATGCCAGGCCCAATGTTAGGTACTGGGGATATCCAGGTTAATAATTAACCAAAACCCAGATCCACCCTGGGTATTGATATAGTCAATAGAATCTCATCAGCAGGAATAAGAAATGTGGGTAGGGTACATCAGAGGTGTCCTAAGAAGAGGCTTTTGGGAAAAATTCAAAAATAGAAATGAGATGTTATTTTTGTCCTATTCTGGCTCAGTTGCTTTGTTCTCCATGTGAGCAGGGGCACCCCCATGCTCCCACTGTGAGTGGAGAGGAGCGTCAGGCATGCCAAACCCCTGTGCCTCGGGCAGTAACCATCAGTGTTAAGACAAATCAAATACAGTTTATTGTAGACCTAGATCAAAACTGAAGGAAAAGATGGCCACAATGTGGCCCTGGAAAGATGGCCACAATGTGGCCCTGGAGGCCTGGTAACAGTGCTTCAGACCTTGACAGACATAAAGATGGGCAATTCACCTTTAACTCTGCTGAAGTATATATTCCCCAACAATCAGAAAGATAAACAACTAAAGCCATCAATGTGGGGAAGCATATTGAGTACTAAAAATATGACATGTCTTGCAGGCTGACGCTAAATCCTGTGAGGAAAACCAGTATGTCAGGGTTCTTCCACAACCAGATTCCCAGGAGAGGAACTCCAGTCTCCACAGGCAAGTGTCCCAGAGTTTACTGGCTATAAAGGAACAGAGCCACGCTGCAAGTGGCCGGAACCATGGTGAGCCAGCACATCAGGTCTGATAACTAGTTCTTTGAAATGGGGCAGTCTGGGGGGTTCTGTCCAGGTCAGCTCTGTGGAAGTGGGCCTTCACCGATGGGCAAGTGGCTAGGCAACAAGGGTGTGCCAAATGGTGAAGAATGAGCTAGTGGAGGACAGTGGACTGACCACC